ATCTCTCTGCTTACCAAGCTCTCCAACAATACGACTTTCCGGTAGGTTTGCTTCCCCAAGGAGTGACCGGCTACGAATTGAACAGGGAAACCGGCGCGTTCTCCGTGTTTCTGAACGAAACTTGTAGCTTTCCTATCGAATCTTACGATCTCAAGTACAAATCCACCATCGAAGGCGTGATATCAAAAGGCAGGATCACGAATTTGAAGGGCGTGAGTGTTAAGGTGCTGTTTTTCTGGGTTAACATCGTCGAATTAGTTCGTGACGGCGATGAGATCGAATTCTCCGTCGGTATAGCGTCGGCGGACTTTCCGATTGATAATTTCTTTGAGAGCCCGCAGTGTGGATGTGGCCTGGATTGTAATCGGCTCCCTGGATTTGTGTCTTCTTCTTAGTCTTAGGCGAGTATTTTGATTGTGCTGCTGTAACTTTCCCTTTTTTTAAGAAAAATTAGGATATTTGGGGGGCTGATTTTATTTCTTTTCGATTATTAATAACTACAGTAAAAAAATCTAAAGATATAGTTTTGCTATATGTAGTAGTGGAAGCTTTTAATAGAAATTTTATCGAAAAGAAATTATGTAGAAATTAAGTAGAAGTGTTATTTTTGTAAATATAAAAAAATAAAAATAATATATTAATTTTATTAAAATTTAAATAAATTTTTTTTATAAAAATATTAATTTGGTATTTGTAATTGCACCAAACCCGAAATCCTTCTCCAGTCCGCACTTGCACTTCGGAATGACCTGCAAAGCCCCGAGGTGGAACTCGGGGTAGACACTCCGATGCTTAAGTCAGCAATAATCGGGGCTACTTCTAGGACGGAGATAAGAAAAGCTTAAGGTTGGTTTCAATTACCTTTTTGACGTGACCCGGGGGGTATTTATAGGATCCAATGAGGAACCCACGTGGCATGCCAAGCAAGATAATCGGAGCCTGACGTGTCTATCCAAACGATTATTCCGAGACCGGGAATTTGAGAGGTATTCAGGTGCACGAGCGTCCACCATATCTGCTGTGCCACTCATCATGAGGAATCAGGTGCAGGCATGCTTATTGTTGTTATCATACAGCTATTTGAGCGGGAAGCTTTGGATTCATTCCTCACTTCGGTCATAAAGGGATTACTGTAACAGTCCGAGTCTTGGCACCTCGGACCTGTCCTTACACTATTCCCCCCCGAAGTCATTCACTTGTGAATGATGTTGTTGGGGATAATGAGGAGAGTGTAAGAACAAAGAGGATACGGATACATCATAAAAAGAAATAAAATTTGTGATTTGAATGCATACATAGCCATGTGCGATAAGAAGAAAGTGTGACCAGAGTGATGGTGGCCGTAGCTATGGTAAAAATAATGATTGGAGTCAATGTGGGCTGAAGCCGTAATAAGAGATGATAACCGAAGTCGTGGTGGCCAGAGCCACAATAAAAAATGATAACTGGAGTTATAATGTAACCAGATCCGTGATAAAAAACGATGACCGGAGTCATAGAGGTCAGGGCGGTGATAAAATATGATGACCGGAGTCATAATGGCCGGAGTCATAATGGCCGGAGCCGTAATAAAATATGATGACCGGAGTCATAATAAGATATAATGACCGGAGTCATAATAAGATATAATGACCGGAGTCATAGTGACCGGAGTCGTAGTGACCGGAGTCGTAGTGGCCGGAGCCGTGATAAAACATGATGACTGAAGTCATGATGGCCGAAGCCGAGGTAAAGTATGTGACATGTAGTTACAGTAACTAGAACCGAAGTGAAACATGTGTCTCTGTGGCCGGAGCCGAAGTAAAACACTATGTCAGTTTAAAAGTGTAATTGTACAGGCAAACAGAAGTGCTGAGTGAAGCTTAAATATAAAAATGGGAATCAAAATGGCCGGAGCCGAAATAAAATGTGTGATACAAGATCACTGTGGCCGAAGTCGATTGTGAAATGTAATGCATCATTAATATGGCCGGAGCCGAAGTGAAACACTTGACAAAATTGAGAAAAGTAAACAAAGGTGTTGAAATGGGCGTGAGTGGGCCCGTCTGGAAAATCTGACAACGTGGTGTGACAGTTGTCCTTGGAATGACGTGCGCAATAAATACAGCCGTAAAAAGGTAACTGCAACAGTTAAACGGGCAAATTTAAAAACGAACCGTCAAGTTCAAAACGGTACTGTTTGGGAGTGTCCGTTGAATTTCAAACGGTGTCAACAGGGACCGTAAGATCAAACGAATCTCAGCCATTGAGATCTAATTTCGCCCAGAGGTATAAATAGGCATTTTTTCTGCAGAAAAAGGTTTACTTGCATTTCTCTTCCTGCAAAAACTTCTGCGAGAAGCTTCATTGTGCACTTTCTGTTCGTGAACTGCGGTAACAACTAGGGATCTCTACATCAAATCTTTCGAAACCAAAATCAGGTACTTTACACGAACCTCTGATTTCAAGTTAATCGAAGTGTTTCTCTCCTTTCTCCCTTTCTGTGGTTGATTTAGAATCTTCTGAAGGGAGTTAGGGTTAGAGGCGAGAGAGATTTTGAATGTATAACAAAGATGGGGGTTGTGGTTTTTTTTTTTTTTTTTGGGTCCTGATTTCATTCCTCCCCCCTACTTTGTGCAGAGTTTGAGAAAATGTCTTCAGAAAGGACTGGAAGTGTA